GTTACATATATGAATAGAGAATTTAATTTTGTACGCGTTTAAATATCTATACGTAAAGAAATGCACCAATAGTAGTATAATATTATATTATAGATTTTTTTTGAAAATCAGTGACACCCTTCTCTTTTCTCAATATAAATAAAATATAAATATAGCATCGTTGACGCACGATCTTCAATAACGTGCCCCTTCTTAATTCTATTGTTAATTTATTAATCTTTGACCGAGTGTAGTGTGTCTACGTTCCGATTTCTTATGATCAGCAAAATATCTATATAGAATTTTGTATGATTACACTGACCATCTCATTTGTACTTTGAGCTTGGCCGGTCAGTGGTTTTGTTGTTAAGGTATTTCAGAAGATTTGTTATGTTCAGGTGAGTTTTTTATATATACGAGAATATTTTATTATAATAATAAATCTTCTCGCATAGGACGGGTTTTGAGATTGAGAAATTTTATAAAAATACTATTCGATAAATACTTTCATTTATATTATAATTATATAAAAAATATACACTTAAAATGTGAAAAATACAAGCGCTCAAACTAAAATTATTCATGTCTTAAAAGTCGATAGTTGGCGTAATTATTAAATTTTATTTAAAATATTTTAGGTTCGATTGATATCAGTTTAGATTTCTTTTCTGTTGTATTTTATATTTTTAAATATTAAATTAATGATGCAATTAAAAAGTTTTGCCAAATCACAACAAATTGAACGTCTTGATTAGTATCATAAAAAGTATGGTGTATTTTATTTTTTTAATTTAATTCCTCTTATTATTTCTGTAAATAATTATCAGACAACATTACACTTATTACTTTTAAGTCATTCTTTGTGTTCTGGAAATCTAAACCAAAATGTCGAGATAATATAGAAAATTTTATTTACCTATATTGATCAAACCGGGAATCGAACACTGGCCTGCAATGCGTAAGATACATCATAACTGCAGTCTACCGCATAATTAATTAATGTAATAGTTGTTTCCGTTCATTTTAACTAAAATTTTCAAAGTTCGAAACTTAGATATCAATGCAAATACGTAAAGTACAAATAGAATATGAATTGTTTATTGAGTTTTGAATATTAATTTACTTTTATACATTAGAGAAAACCGGAAGGGTTGCCATGTAGAAATCAAGAATGTACCGTAGCGACATCTAGTTTGATTTCGGGAACTTTTTTTTAAATACTTTTTTATTGAGCTGCCCAAGACTACGTTACTAGTGAGCCATTTCCATCAACGGTCAGACAATCACTGCTTACATAATAAATAAATATCATTATGGTATCGTAAATAAAAATTAAAGATGTAATTATTTTACTTTCCAGATGCTGTGAAAGATAATAACAACGATTATTAAAAAACAAAAACATGGCGAAAGGTGAGAATTAAGATCCCTATTCTTAAAAGTTTTTATTTTACTTTTCATTGTTTTAAAACATATTATTATTGCGGCTCGAATATTAGTATACAATATAAATATACGAGAATTATAATGGATGATTAACTATATATTAAAACTCTTGGTTATATTAATAAGTAAATTTAAAAAAATTGCCTTTTTTAAATAGAAAATTGGACATTTGGCATGGTACAACTCTATATGGAGAATAAAATGCACATGTATAAAAAAAAATCTTCATCAAACTTACATCAAAGTCGTAGATTTCAAGATGTAAAATGTTTTAATAGATTAATCAAATACTTTTTATGTTAATACTCGTATTTAATGAGCTTGCCCGACACTTATTTCACATTTGACATTTGCAAATTAAATAACGCATTTTTTTATAATTTCCGTTAGGTTGAAAGAATTTTTTTTGGACCATTTTTTGTTCATTTGTTCTTTTTTTTTTAAAGTTAATTTTTTTATTTATAACTAAGTGTTTGATTGGATTTTAGCTATATGTAATATAACACAATGTGATCTTGTCTCAGTGGACAGAACTCAATAATCATATGTACTGGCGGTCAATATAATAAGGTTAGCAAACCAGATGTTGTGAATGTATTTATAAATTAAAAAATGGGATTTTTTTTATTGATTACGCTATGTATTCTTAATGAAAAACTATTGAAAAATCCGCTTTGACCCTGGCACTCTAAGATGGGACTTGAGCCCATGACTCTATGACCTTTCGCAATTCGGGCGAGTGTTATAACCAGTGGTCGGAATTAGGTAGAGTTATTCATGTACTTACACTGATTTCATACAGCGAAAGAATAAAGTGGATATGCCTCAAATACCGACATTAATTTTAAAGAGCAGAAAAAATCCCGTGATTTTTTAAATAAAAAGTTATTTACTTTTACACCATTAAAACTACTGCACGCACAACGTTGCCAAACTTACATCAATGAGATCGGATATCCAAAGTTGCAAAATACCAATACGACTAATAAAAAAATTATGTTAATTATCTTTGTTTTATTTGTTTATCTTTGACGTTGTTATTATTATTTAGTTGTAAGATTGTTGGCCACACGGGATTGTCCATTAGAAATCCCGGGAAGGTCCACATTAATATCAACATTTCGATGCAAGTACATAAATAACTCTACCTAATTCCGACATTTGGTTATAACCATTGAGTTCGCTAACCAGGAATTTTTCAAGTACTTGTTACTTTTTTGCTACTACAGAGCGTATTTTCATCATTGTTCTGGCAACCCACCCAAACTCGAAAGAAAAATTTGTACAAATATTAAAACTTTGGTTAAGATGAAAATTTGTTTTAATTACTATATTTGATCAGTTTTTCATTAACAATGCTGTACTGAAAAATATTCTTAATGAAAATGCTTAAAAAAGTCCACTTTCTCCCTGGTACTCTGAGATGGACCCGAACCCATGACCTTTTGCAATCCGGGCGACTGCTCTGCACACTGGGCTACCCAAGACCTAACAAGACTGACGAATTTTTCAAGCACTTCTTACTTGTTCGCTACTACAGAGCATATTTTTAATGAAAAATTGGTCAAATATAATACATAATGTATTTTAAAATTAAGTAATTATTTACATTAGGGGTGTAGACAACCTTTTTTATATTCTTATTCTATAGATATACAAGAAATATATCTAAAAAAAGAATACCTACTTTAGAATACATACGCAGTTTGTTTCATATTTATAATTTGATTTAGTACAATTAATGTCTTTTAATTTCCTACATTAAATTATTGTTTAATGTTACCGAGCACACTACTTCCTTGTGGGTATTGTGAATTTCACATCCCTTATTATTAAACGTAACTTTATATCCACTTTTCACAATGGTGCTAAATGAAAGGAAATTTGCAGCTCACCCAGGAACAAACAAAACATTTTCAACTTGTATTTTGTTTTCCTTTATTTTATATAAATGTCAACACATCCAACTTCTTTTACTACTGAAGAATTTGGAATTTTAGATACTATAATATTGTTTATTCAGTGATATTATACATCTAATAATTTCTGATTGTGATGTGCATGGATGCACCTGGGTCGATACACCACTTATCTTTATTACAATCGCTCGCAGCAGCTGAAATGGCTGCTATAAAACTAGAACTTTCTTCTTTATTTGTTGTTTTTCTTGGTTGGTTAAAGAACTTTGCAAAATGCCCAAATCTGGGTCCATTTGGTTGACCGGCTACGAGTTAACATAGTCCTCGATACTATTACTCGATTCTAACGTTGTATTTATGAGGTGTTTTAATAGAACTACTCTTCTTGTAAGACCATTGTCTACAAATGCTCTTTATCCATTTTCCTATACCTCTTTTGCTGTTTTGCAATTTTGAATATGTACATAATTTTGTGGGTCCAGCACAAAAATTAATTTTGCCTTTGCCTTTACATCCTTGTAAATACTTCAACATACTTGGTCTTGAGTTGGAATTCCATCTCAGATTGCCAGGGACAAAGTGGATTAAGCATTCTTCATTAGGAAATTTTTCAGTATAGCATGGTGAATGTAAAATTGGTTAAATATAATAAATACTTGGTCTTATCATCTCGGTCTCGGTCTATTAGATAGCTTAACGAAGTCACTGAGTGGTTCCACACAACCCCCCAAACTTTCTTGTTCTAAATATGTCTTAATGTCGAATTTCCACGTGATGAAATTTTCTATTTTAATCGGTTTTTCCAGGTTGAACATATTTGAACTCATTTTCTAATGAATCAATTTTGGTGTGTGGGGAATGCCACTTATATTAGTATTAGATCATGTTATCACCTTAATCTCAATTTCGATTCCGATTTGTATTTAAGTGACAGAAGTAGTGTTTTAATATACTGCTATTTCTTTGGTACCCTAAAGAACCACACTCTGCTACCATGAAGGAAAATTGCGTAGATTCCTAAAATAAAATGAAATGTAACTGAAGAACTTTCACTTTTAATACGTAACCTAACAGTATTTGTAGCTTTAAATTCCGACCAGTTTGTTTGTTACTGCTGTTGCTTTAAGCGTCAAGTTAGCAGGCATACATAAATAAATTTTACGAATTCTATTGAAGTGAGTGAAATAAAAATTTGTTGTATACAATCACTAATTAGTTGCAATTTTTGACATGTAATTCAAACGTCTAGTTATCAGGCACTCTAAGATCTTTTAATATCTCTTAATTTACAGTGTCACTAATTATATGCTATGTATCACTAATTGTCGCTATTTACTCAAAATTTATTGAGATACATAAGACTCACAAACTTGTTGATATGCCTGCTATCTTGACGTTCACGTTTGTGGCCCAAAAACCGGCTAGCATGTATGTATTTAATGAAAGTCGAGGAGGCGAAAGATGTATATATAGACTGTGCGTTGTAGCATTTCGTCCATTATTCCGACCCCGCAAGGAATCCAGCGTGAAGATATAGATATACATATAATAAATATTTTTTGTATTTTTTTCTGTTGTCTGTACTTGTTTAGTTTAGACTAATATAATCAGTTAATCATTTTTGTTTTGTCAGGGCTAATATTCCTTTTCGTTGCTATGGCGGCTTCATCGGTCATCTGCTTTTGCCCGAGGGAGAGCATAACCAGTTTCGGAAACTGCTCCTTTCACATCCAATGCACAAGTTACGTAGACGACGTGAGGCTTCCACCACGATGCCAGGGTTCAACCAACTACCCAGTCCACATCGACCTCATCCTCAATAACGCTACCGATAGCTTTGATAATAGTGATAACAACACCGAACAACTTCTTGCCAGCGTAATTTCATTCAGAGCGCACGGCATCTGGCCTCAAACTAATTTATCTATGCTCGAATATATGCCCAGCCTTCGCTTTTTATATTTAAACGAAAATCAAATTGGAGTTATCACTGGTAGACCGTTTTCGCATTTATTTCGCTTAGAACATATAGACTTATCACATAACAACTTAAGCAATATAGCACAAATATTTCAACTCGAAAAGTATCTCAATAGAATGAGAACTATATTATTAGCATATAACGTTATTGATGAAATTCCAAATAATGCTTTTAAAGGACTGTCATCACTCGAAGAATTAGATTTATCTTATAACCAAATTTCGATTTTAACAAACGCATCGTTCTTAACTTTGAACAGGTTGAAAATTTTAAAACTCAACAATAACAGAATTACTAATTTAAATGGTGCTGTTGACAAATTAAATAATTTGAAACACTTGTATTTAAAAGGAAACCAAATTCAAAACATCAATACTAATACCTTGAATGTAATTAACGATTTGGAGACATTCGATATATCTTCTAACCAGTTGGAGGATCTTCAAGCAGTAGTATTCGTGAGACATTGGCGACATTTAAGTACTAATTCGATTTGTAAGATTTTGCTTTCAAATAATCAAATCACTAAAGTGCCTAATGTTACGACTATTGAATTTTACGATCGATACATTAGATCTTTTATAGGGCAAAAAAGCAACGTAATTGATGTTACTACCGAATTGGATTTATCGAAAAATGCTATATCCGAGATTGGGTACGATGCGTTCCGACCTCTCGTTCGCTTAGTGTCCCTTAATTTATCATGTAACAAAATAATTGATTTCATCGTTAATCCCAAATACATGACTCATATTAAATATTTAAATTTGAACAACAATTATATCTTACATTTATACATGGACAGTTTTCGGTATATGGCTAACTTAGAAAATTTAGACCTTTCGCATAATTATTTAGAGAGCATACCGGTCAAGCCTTTAAAGAGTAACTCTCATTTGAAATACTTTAATTTGACTAATAATAAAATAGAAATGGTAGAAAGCTTGAGAATAAAAATGTTCCATCCTGATGGGGGAGTGCTGGATTTGTCTAACAATAGTATATCAAAGCTTTATATTCCTCATGGAGAAGGACTACGTTTGACTATATTGATATTACGTTTTAATAAAATAAGTAATCCTTCATCGATATTTTTACGCTATCAAAACGATTTAGAGAAATTAGATATGAGTAATAATTTTATTGCGAAATTAGAGGAGCACTCTCTGTATCTACCGATTACACTAAGTTCATTAGATCTGAGCAATAATTTAATTGTATCAATAAGTGCCGGGTCTTTCAATATTATTGAAAGATTAAAAACATTACGTTTGGGTTGCAACAAATTACAGAATATAGAATACGGCGCATTTCAAGGGCTTAAGGATCTATCAAACTTGGATTTGTCGTATAACAATATAACTTATTTAGATTCTAAGGTGATGATTGATTTGAAATCTTTGAAAGTACTGTCGTTGAAATACAATGGTTTGTACATGCTTGATTATAAAGGGTGGCTGGGGCATCAATATAAATTAACAGTTTATTTAGAAGGCAACCGTTTTTCTTGTGACTGGCTTGCTACTGCATTGAACGATTATGATAATGGTTATTCAATGATGAAACCTAGGTCAGCAGAGGAATCGTTGAATGGGACTTCAATTGGAGGAGTACCTTGTGTAAAAGGGGAAATTGAAAATATGGCAAGGATGACATCGGTGTCGACAGACGAAAGATTACTCGTAATAGTACAAAGAATTCTAAGAGCTGTTGAGGAACAGAATTCTCTGTATGAAAAAATGTTTTTAGGCTTCAAAGCTTATTCGATTATTTCCGGAAGGGCTCGTGAGCATCTATTAGTTTGATAGTTTTATCATATTCAGAATACTGTTAGGCAGTTTTTGTTTTTTGTGTAAGTGTAAAATTAAAAAGGTTTCTATTAAATCTCAGTGGAGTTATTAACTCTTATAATTTAAGGTGTGATAGTTTTATGTAATTAATTGTGTCAACATTGTATTAAAATAATTAACGAATATTTTGTTTTGCTTTTTTGAATATAGTTTTTTTTATAATCACCAAACTGTTTTTAATTTATTACCATTCAAGTTTCAACATCTTGCAGAGGTCGACATATTGTCTTCTAGTAGCTAGAAAATATTTTAAATTACGTTTAAGATAACTGGTGGCGAATTAGTATATTTTTTTACATTTCTTTTGCTCAAAAAGTACATCATTACTTGGTAACAATATCGTAAATAAGCAGAGTAATGTGTATACGTGTTAAACATGTGATAAATTGTACGCGTAAATTTTACATTTGTTATTACAAAAAAATTAAACGCGCGTTGAACTCAAATCTTTCTATTACAAAATCGTATTTAATCATTGGTTATGGCTACACATCCCTGAAATATCCATAAAAATTGATATGGACCTTAAAGATGATATGGATTTATATGGACGAATTAATCTATTTGAACTTGAAAAGTATAAATCAAATACAAGTGGCATGTGCATGTGTGCATAGCGCCTGTGTCTGTGCTTGTGAACATGTGCGGCATTGGGCTTGTCATCAGGTAGTCGTTATTCCGTTACTTCATATATTTCGCTATAGTTTTATTTAACCTAATTCTGATATGAATTTTTATTATAAAGTTCCAGTTTAAAAATGTCAATTTTGTAGTTATTTTTTTAGTTTTGAAAATTATTACTATCCCATAAAAAAAATTTGCAAATACGTTGTTGAACATATCTTTTTACGATTAGAATTTATCATAAGTCTGTATACAGCGTGCATATAATGGGACGTGTATGAACGAATGAAATCCGATTGAACGAATGTTATAAGGGTTGCATTTTTAAATCAGTGTTAGTGAAACAACAATCAAAAATGGATTTGGAATTTAGACAAAGTTAAACATTATTTTAAACAGGGTTTATATTCTTAGACATTGTTTAGTTACATGGTAAAATCCTGTCTAACATCTCTTTTGTAATAACACTGCCATTATTTTTGTTGAGTGGTTATTGAATAAAGTACTAAAGGAATTTAGCCTACTCAGCAGTATCTTAGAATAAGTAAAGCTTTTATTTTAAATATATTATTGCTTCACTTGTCACTTTTTTTTCTAATGGTTTTAAAGCGGATATTTTCTTTCTTTATTTTAAATATTTATGCTCCGTGCTGTCATAACTGGACTCAACAGAATATCAGTGCAGCGGGCCCTGTCTCTTGCTTATATTGAGCTGAGTCCAGGGTTGGCATCGCATAGAGTTCACAATACCAGTTTGTATAATAATGATAATTCGTTTTTTTTTTAACAGTAATGTTGTGTGTATTATGTGGTTACAGCAATAAATTAGTTTATCTTTCTCTCTTTTTTCTATTATTCTAATATTGATACTGTACTGATGTAGAAGTATGTACTAAGGGTAATTACTCTCTACCCAGTGCGGAGATCAGGACTGTGATCGCCCTAACACTCTAGCCATGATTCTAACCATTGGATACGAGTTTATGGCGATGTTATATCAATATTTCGTTTCTTTTTACTACTTTTGACATCTACATTAATAACAAACGAATGAAACAAAGAATGATGAATATGTATTGACAGCAGTTGTTACTCATTTATCTACTAAAAGACCAACAAAAGACATGTCAAAGTAGCAACATGAGACGAAATATCGTCCTGATATCGCTAAGATGTCGCATTCTATGGTTTAAGAGATGTATGGCTAAAGAGTTAGGTGGTCGCTCTGCTGGAGTGCAAGCGCCCTAACTTTCTAGCCATGACTCTGATGTTAGTACTTTGACATGTCGTTTGGTCCAACCAACCAGTTTGGTGGATAAATTTGGGCTAAGTGACTAAATTCGTAACACTGGAAATATCGTCATAGCATCGATAAGATGTCGCATCGCATGGCTGGAATTATGCACGGTTAGAGAATTAGGCTGTTGCATCGCATGACTGGAATTATGCACGGTTAGAGAATTAGGCTGTCGCATTCCTGGGCTGGAACACCTGGCGGCAACGGCGCGTTGTAAAGTAGATACCTATGCAATATGCCAACATTCACTAATAATAGTGCTTCGTACTACTGCACAATTGTCGAACGAAACGAATCAGCTCAGATGTTGTCGGGAAAATCGTAAAAAAATTCGTAATGGTTAAAAATATAATAGAGTCCTTCATGGACAAAGGTTGTAATTTTGTTTACTTACCACCAAATAAAATAACTAGGTATAAACATTAGTTGTCAGTAGATATCATGCTTGGAAATCGAACCCGATAAGGTATCAGGTGCCAATTAAATATTTTATCAACCTAAATACTTAGTTATGAATACTTTTTGTTAATGTTTGAATTATTTCTATTAAAGAGCGCTATCGCTTTACGTCCTGTCAGCGAAACAGATAAGATATGCAAATCACACAATGCGAAATGGCCACTAAGGTTCTGTACAAAAATCAGCTAGAAACTGTTAATGTGTTTTTATTAAATAAAATTACGCAAGATAAAATATTAAAAAAAGGAAATATTTGTTTATTTGTTTATTTGTTTGCATTGACTGGTCTCCGAAACTACTGGAACGACTTTAAAAATGCTTTCACGGGAAACTAGATCATATGCGGGTGACATAGGTTATAATTTATGCGGGAAGTCGCGGGTTTTTTTTTTTATAATAACAAGGGTTAATTTTATTCTAGCGGGAACAGCTAGTATAAATTTAACCTACGTTATTATAAAAATCAAGAGCGTTAACAAAATGCAGCTAATTTGATAAACTTAACGTAGATGACGCTACTAGGATTGAGAGCTATGTCAGCTGGCATTTTTTGTTTCATTTCTTTATTATTTTATTATTCCATTCAATTGAAATAATTTGTTACATAAAAGGTAAATGTTTACTATGTGTTGAAATAAAAAAAGAACTAATATCGGAGGCCACAAACATCTTATCTGTCAAATCCGTCTTTATGCCTTCTAGTTATTGTAATAACTGTTTCATCAATGGGGCGATGCTTAATTCTCTAGCCATGACTCTAGTTATAGGATTGGACATCTTATCGATGTTATGGAGGGGTAAATAAAATATGTAATTTAAATAATAATTTAAAATAATAACTTACTAATTTGACGCTGCCGTCAAATCCATAATTATAATTCTTCATTCGTCGTTATTAAACTTCCACGTCAATGTAATAAAAAGAGAAGAAATATCGCCATAGCATCGATAAGTATTCTATTGGTTACCCCAGCAGAGCGACCGAGTAACTTCTCGGAACGGAATACTATAGAATAGAGTAACAATTTATTTTGACAACACACAGCACAACAATACCAATAACTATAAAATACTAATAAAAAAGAAAAAGTGCAATGCTGTGTGTTGTCAAAACTGGCTCCTGCTCAATATAAAGTTCAGCAAAAAAATAACAAAAACCAAAACACACGTAAAATCAACACAATTTGTATTTCTTTGTCAGAGGTTACAGGAAAATACATCAGTATCCTAAGCATGGTTGCATCGGCCAGATCTCTGTATCCTTATATAAACAAAAAAAAAACGAATGAAGGAACTAGAATTTTTTATTCTTTGCCTAAGCTCAAACTCGATGCAGCCATCAAAGCTGCCAAAGAGGGAACTGTAGACGTTGTATGTTTCGTGGCAAATTGAAAACGTGCACTTCAAGTGTACAAAAAGCGATTACTCGATTTATTTTACTGCTTTGATATGTACTCTAATAACGAACAACAAATGATAAAGAAAGATGAATACGGATCAGACGGCAGCATTTCCAACTTTAGAGATTTAAAACAAATTTAGCCAGCACAAGATATGTCTATATATGATAAGAAGTAAAATGAAATGAAAATGGTCGTAATATTCGATAAGATGTCGTGTCCTATGGCTAGAATTAGGCTGTCGCACTGGTTTGACCACAGTGGAGAAGAAATATATAGAATCAAGATTTTATTTTTCTTCTCTACTGTGATCAAACCAGTCAAACAATGCTATGCTAATCTGTAATAAAATTTGTCTCAAACTAGACATTGAGAACAACGCTGTCACAGTTTAGAAGTTTAGTCAAATAAAACCTACTTCAAAAGCTAATAAAAGTTTTATGCGAACACATAATTACCCATTGACTTTCCGTGTCTGTAGTACACACGGCTTCACGTCAGGTCACCTCAATATGACACCGCATTTGATTTTAAACTCTATCTTCGACGTATTTAGGTTGACTGTACACCAAAGAGATCTGTGTCTACAGTAGACACCGGGAAATCTTTGACTATTGCAAAAAACAATCAAGTCTCGTGTCCCCATCATTACGGGACGTTGGAAGGATCTCTGTGTAAAGTGGAACAGGGTACACAACACAAAACACAAAAATCTGTATGCCTGCCACAGAATCTATGAAAAATGCGAAATATGCATCTGCAAAAATCTGTGGAACTCTCACTACTCGATAAATGACGTTTGAAGTTAAAACATATCTGCTATACATAATAGTACTACAATCTGGTAAAAGAAAGCTACCAAATACATTCAAAAGTAAAAATAACGCAGTATGTTTAAATACTGTTTGTTTTATCTAATTTTATTTATGAACGTAGGTTAGAAAGCGGTGTAATGTCATAAGCAATTTTACTTATTGAACCCTAACATTTCTGTGTGTTTGATATAATGCACTATTTATGTACACTGTCATTGTATCATCGAAACTGTATTATTCTTTATCGACTTATCATTCAATGAAGTGTTCTTTCTGCGAAATTGCGTCTTTAATTTGATTTGGTGTATCAAATCTATGAGTTTTGTGTGCATTTCCATTGAATAGGTAATTATTTTGTTGAATTATTTACGAAGTTGAAGTTAATAATTGAATGGTTTTTATACTCTGAAGTTGGTATGTCAAAGAAGTGTTTTTAAGGTACTATAGCTTCTTTATAGGCATATGCTGAAAATCGTAAACCAAACATTTTTATTTGATGAAATCAAAACATTTGTTACGCTATTTATTAGAATAAAGATGATGACGAGATGAGACATAAAAACAATGCTTTCTCCTTCAAATAGTCAATTGTCTGATATGATATATTTATTGCAGCTGGTAATTTCGTTATTGAGAATGATGTTATGTTGTTGGTTGTTTTATTCCAATTTCTCCGATGAATTTTGGCTATAAATTTATCATAAAACATTCAAAGTTAACTGTTTTTGATCTTCTAAAGGACTGGGTGCGATATTTCTATTGTAGCATAAAAAGATGCGACTGTTTAAAGTGCGTGATGAATAGTAATCGTTATTATAATCTTTTAGACTCATATATCTTTTTCACATCAAAATGTCAATCTAAAATAGAATCTATTGTAGTCTTTATTAAGGCACAGGACTCTTCTATTTCAAAATATTTCACAAACAGATCTTACTGAATCACCTACACACCATAGAACTTATTCCGATGTTGGACGCTCTTTACCAAATTTATCAATGTAATTCTACAATGTTATCAAAACAAATTAAAATTGTTTGTTTAGTCTAGGGTTTTATTTAATAACTCCGTGATCATCGCGCTTACAACAGCACCAAAGTATCAGGAACTCCATGGTAGCAGTTTCGTAGATTCCTACAACAAGTTCTGCTTCTGTTATCTTGGTTCTCTTCGGAATTGAAAATGCAGTTTTATGGAAATAATGCTAAATTTGTCTAATATGTGTGACAGAATTGATATAACTATTGCAGTATGTGTCTGATTCTACATATATATCTAGCTATATTGTCTTAACAAATCATGTAAGTGCCTATCTACAATTCACTTTATTTTTTTATGATCGTCATTAATTCTATTGTTACAAGCACTTGTGAATGTCGAAAGCTATGCCATCGGTTCTTTAAACTACAGCGGGGGACCTTATAACGAGAAGTACGGGAAATAAACTTTTTTCTCCTTTAACGTGAATAATATTTTCTAAAGATGCTTTGTTATCAAAAGTTGATCGAAACAGATCTATTTTTGAATAGAGCCATTTTAGAGATTGCCGAATAAATTCAACGTTGAACCTAAGCTAATAAATTAATTACTGTTTCCTTTTTCTTCGAACATTTGAACTGTCAACAAACTATGCTGTCAATTTTTAAGCTTTTTGTGGTCTATTATAAAAATGGATATTGTGGTATTGCGGCAATCAGTAGCTTCATCTAACAATCATTTGTAAATACTCAAAGGGCAACCCTCATAAATATATATGTAGGTATATTTTAAGATCAAGGATTTTTAATCCTAATATTTACTAAATTTAAATGCGTTATCTATAAAATTTGCATATAAATTTTTCGATTATCTTTGGAACTGCACGTCAAACCCTAACAATTACATAAATGTAAACTATTTATTTATAATTTTTTGACATACCACTTGTAACGGTTAGTGCTGCAGAATTTATTTCAAAAATGGACTAATACAATAAGTCGATTTCAATTCAATTCCCGTTCGAGTGATTGTAGAAAAATAACTTGTCTATATTGTCTTCTATCTAGGTGTTGTGGTACGTTCGCACATCGACTTCGAGCGCCTATTGCTACTTAAATTGGAATATAAGCAATGTATGCAACGTTTATTTATATTACTTAATTTATTTCTCTACACTTTACTATGTGAATAGCCATTGCATAATCGTGGGCTGAAATAAGTGAGTTTAGCATTTATTTTATAATTTTCACTGTCTTATCAAATTATTTATTTCAGAATAGCCAGGCGATAAAGATTATGAATGAAAATGAATATCTTTAAAGGTAAATCCCTTAAAACTTTATTGTCATAAAAAGTGTTAGATAAAGTTTAGCATAATTAGTGAGTAAGCGAGTCATAATAAGTAAAGTATTATTTTGTTTAAATATTGGACAAAACAGGCAGTACTAGGGAATGTTGGTAAATACCTAAATAAAGAGGCAGTCAGTTATATTTAGCCTTCTCTGCCCCATCACACGTGTCAATACGCGGATCGGGTTTCATATATTTAGGTACTCAAACCTATGGGACCGATAATATTAACCTCGTCCCGCGTATCTTGGAAATGTATCTAGCCCCGCGCTTAGATAAGCGCAGCTTAACGTGAAGTCTGTCTTATTTAAGATAAGCTTAAATAAGGCAGACTTCACGTTAAAATCTTGAAACTACCGTGTCTACAATTTGCACTCACCCTAACACATTTTTAGAAACAAATAAATGCCAGGGCTTTAGCTATGACTATTTGCTATGGTAAAAACTATTTACATATAATAACAGACGCCTAAACAGATATTGTAAGAATTTTTTTAGGGCATTCAAGAGTTATATGAAATTTGGTAATATAAATAAGTACATAAATACTAGACAACATCATAGCAAATAGTCATAGCTAAAGCCCTAGCGTTTATTTATTTCTTAAAATGTGTTAGGGTGAGTGCAAATTGTAGTTCAAGATTTTCCCTTTAACGTGAAGTCTGCCTTAAGCTAAATCGAAACTGTTTTGCTTACGACGCGTCGCATTGTTACTAGACCATGACCAAATCATGAAATAATTAATAGACGTATTTTTCATCATTAATTAGTGAGGAAAACATTGTACTAATAATAATGGCCTTCAGGTTATATCTATAATACAATAGCAAAATATAAGTATTTTAGACTATTGAGAAAGAATTATTACCTAAACATTAGCCGAATTGAGGCCCTGACGCTTGAATGAAACTAGAAGATAGAAGGTATATCTTCTAGTTCCATTCAAGCACAGCATTCAAGCGTTCAGGTGTGTATACATGCTGACTCATACAAAAGGGAAGCTGATCATTTCTGTAGACAGAAATAAATCATATATGAGTTTCTGTGCTTAAATTGATATTCAGGCTTGTCCTCGTGCATTCCTTTCAATAAGACGTTTTGTTTGAAGATTTGCGCGTCTTTATATAATTACTAAAGCAAAAGAATGTCATAAAATTATCGTGACTCAAAATATCTGCGCTTGGTCTTATGGTAATATGAACACACAAGGCATCATAACTGCATAAGAATATACTTGCCGTAATAAATGGATGGGTGGATGAATAATGGATGGATTGCGTCGATTTGTTTGGAATTGGATATATTAGAACGATCAACATAGTCTTAAATGTAATCGCGATCGATCGCCGTTGCAATTATTACGTTTCGTACTCATGATTTGGTACACTAGCGCCGATTGGCTCAATATAGCGTGGTCATTAAACGAACTAATTAACCTTGAGTAAGTATTGAGTCTATGTTTTAAGACTACGAGCTAAGATTTGATGAAAACTGAGATCGTTATTGCATTGGATTGAAATTGACATTAAGATTGCGTTGAAGAGTAAGCCTGCAGGTTGAATAAGCTGCACATAATGTTGAATACAATATCAAAAAGTCGAGTTTTGATTGAATTAAATGTTAAACAAATGTAATTGTGCTAACGGCAGGGAATCGAAACCGGAACTTGAGAGATAGCCTCCACCTTAGCATACATCTTGAATTTTTTGTCTTTGTATATTTATTTTGTTTCAGGTTTATGGGTATGTCTGTTATTGGTAAAGTTCTGTCTTTGCATATCACCGCCAGAGACTACCGGCTGTGTAACAGAGCGGCTCAAAAGTGGTTGCGTAATGGAAGCATACTGTTTGAATGACATAAACATCGGTACTCATACTATAATAGTGAACAATCATATAAGCAATTGCTTGTATGTTTCAATTGATAATGGATATGGTCAACAATATTATAATAAGGTATACATGACGTTCAAAGGTCATGATATGAACAGTGAAATTTTTGTCGAGTCCGTTGATCCAACAATTGCTATTAATTGTATGATTTGTAATTTAATATATAAACTAGACTTAAGTAGTAACGGCTATGAAAGATCACCAACTCTGATGACTATGGAAAATTTGGCCATTCTAAACTTATCAAAAAATAATTTGGCCGTTGGAAAGCTTTCAAACGCTTTCGAATTAAAGAATTTGAAACATTTAGATTTATCTAACAATGCCATCAGTACTATAGAAGTTGACCAGTGGAGTTATAATAAATTACAAACACTAAATTTATCAAACAATGAACTTGTCTATATATCAGATGGTATTTTTGATGGGTTTTCTCAATTAAAAATTTTAGATTTGTCACACAACGTTATAGATTATTTAGAAGCGGGTTCATTCGAAGGACTCAGAAATCTCTCTACGTTGCTTATATCTGACAATAGACTATCAGAAATTAATAGGTCACTTTTCAGGTTTACTAAACTAAATGTTTTAGATTTGAGTAGAAACAGACTGCAACATATAAAAGCTAGTGATTTTGATAAACTCCAGGAACTGACTTATTTGGACTTAAGTGACAACACTATATTATCAATTGAAAATACTGTATTTTATAATATGCCATCTTTGCAATTACTTAAACTTAATAAAAATAGCTTGCAAGAATTAGGTGAAACATATTTTGCCAATTTCACACATTTAGAATACGTGGACTTTTCTAAAAATAATTTAAAGAAATTACCAAATAATCTGTTTAAAGGAAATGATATATCGTTTTTTGACATAGAAGGAAACAATTTGGAAGGTTCACTTTCAAAAGGGACATTTGAAGGATTGAAAAGAGTTCTCAAGTTAGATCTTAGTAATCAACAGCTTACTAGTATAGAAGATTATGCATTTGTTGGTCTTGATGTAATTACTGATTTGAAACTGAATAAAAATAAATTACAAACACTATCAATTAACAGTTTCAAAAAGTTGACAAGTTTGATCATGTTAGATTTGTCAGATAACATTATTCTTGACTTAAGTTTCGATTCAACAGATTTAATTAACCTCAGTGTATTATCATTAAACAGCAATTTCATTGCTAATATACAACATGAATATTTTAAAAGATTATCTTCACTTCATTATTTGCATTTGTCTAATAATAATGTAACCAATTTGAATTCAATTTCTTTTAACTCTCTTCGTGAATTGATACATTTTGATATATCTGGCAATCCTTTGAATGGTACATTAGAAACTAACACATTTAATGGCCTAGTTGCTCTTCCAATATTAGATATATCTTGTACCCAGTTGAGTGTCGTTAAAAATGGTTCATTTATAGGGATGGCAGAGTTAAAGTTACTTAATATTTCTCACAGCAAAATTGTTGAATTGCAATACAACTCTTTTACTCTTTTAAAAACAGTAGAAACCATCGATCTGTCGTTTAATCAAATAAGAACATTTGAAATAAACGGAACAGACTTAGTTACTCTTCAGAAATTGTTGCTCAGTCATAATCTTTTGAAATTTATTACAAGTGACGTATTTGTTGGATGTCCAAGTTTAACTAAAATGGATTTATCTCATAATAACATCATAAGCATACAGGAAGATGCATTCAAAAATCAAAATGAATTGAACTATTTAGACGTTTCATTCAATTCAGAGGCAGTTTTTAATGTTTCTATTTTTCATCACAATAAAAACATAATTCACTTGAATTTAGCAGGTATTAGATGTGAAATTAAGTTTTCGTCGATAAGTGAAAATAAGTTATTTTACTTAGATATGTCATATGCAGGTGTAACAAATTTAACAGCCTTGGATTTAAAAAGATTGACAAATTTAGGTATACTCATTTTAAGTCATAATGCCATTGAGAAAGTAGAATTTGGTTCATTTAATAATATGACCGCTTTGGTAATTTTAGATTTAAGTTTCAATAAGATCACGTTTATCCAGCCCGGAGTATTTACAGATAACGGATACATACATAATCTCAATGTTTCTCATAATTCGCTTACAACTGTTGCATATGGGGTTTTCAACGGTCTTCTGCGTTTAGATACATTAGATATGTCATATAATAATATAAAAAGCTTAGAAAGTGAGCGGTTTTATGACGTCCAATCTTTACATGTACTTATCGTAGATTATAATAATATAGACTTTTTAAGTACCGATGAATTTTCTCCACTAAATTTAAAGGAGTTAAGTATTGGTGGCAATCCTATTCCTTGCAAAACTATAGCTAATTTTATGGAAAATGATGTGCCATATAAAATTACAGCAATTCATGCAAATGACTCGTTCAAAGAAAATGTAAAAGGAATCGCATGTTTAAACGAAATCAGATTTAAATCTAAAGGAAATGAAAGTATTTTAAATTATAACAATGAAATTTTAAATGATATCAGAGACACGCTGCATATGATAGCCAGCAAGAATATGACTAGTAAAGAATTTGGAAATGAATATTTACATAATACTATAAAAGAATTTGAAAGTGCAGTGATTAATTTTAATAGTAAAGTTTTGTCATTTATAAATCAAAGCTCAATAACTATAAAAGAAATCGCAAAAAGTAGTACAAATAACAAAAATCATGTTGATGTTAAACTATCAACAGCTATTAATGAAAGCTCAACAATTATGAAAGAAAATGCAGACCGTACAAATAGGTTATTAGAACAAATCTTGAAGTCTATGAAAGAGATGAATTTGATGACAAAATCTAACATATCAATAACAAAAAACAAAATAAATACATCCGAAAATGTGATCGAGCACAATAATCTTAGAAACGAAATTATAGATATTATTACAGCTGAAAAGGAAAATATATTAGAGGAACTTGAAAAAAAATTGAGAGTTGTAGAGTATAAAAATTCACTAGGTACAACGACAGTTTCCACGCCCAAAGCAGTTCAAGAAAAATTGTTTAGTAATAATAATGTTACCGCAAGTCCACTTACATTATTTACAGACGTTTGTGTAATGTTAATTCTTATTATTTTACTTTGTTTGATTTTGTATAGGTTTTATAAATCTAGAATGTTTGTTCATACGAGACGGTCGTATAGTACAAGAGAATTGCCTAGTAACATGGAAAGTGCAGATCTGTGATATTAATATTTTATGGCTCGTCTATTTCAAATGTTGACACCATTGAGTTTTAAACAATAAGGTCTAATAACACGTTTTTTAGTGTTGAGAGTGACTTTGAGATTATACTTTGAAATTACAATGATAAGTTGTTATTGTATGTTTGTTGATTATTTCATATAAAATTTTTATATTTTACATAACTGATATTTCTAGAGCATTTTGTGTAGTGTTATTTTTGTATACACTACTACACATTAGTTTATTGCAGTATGTCTAATTTCTTCAGTTGATTTTAAAGTTGAAGGTAGACTTCAAATCATTAAGTTTCAAAATCAAGTGGAGAAATTTCACATATTTTTTTTACATATAAGTCGTGCTATTGTCTATATATGTTTCTCATATTCTGGCTTTTTATATGTTAGTACTCCTAATTTGATCGGATTCTTGTTGATTAAATATAAAAGTAGGCTTAATCAAGTGCTACAACTAAAACGTGTAATTTATTTTATAATACACTCACTCCTAATGTGAACCATCAATAACCTAGAAACAAGAGTTGTTCGTTATTATAATTATAAACTTGAAAAACGGATTAATATTATATTTTATGAAAATTCATTTTTAAATGTCGTCCATAAAATAGTATTGTATAAACATTCTATAGACAACCTCCGAAGCCGAGTGTTTCGGTCGCCGGTATCAAGGTGTCACCATTTCTGAGGTCCCGGGTTTGATTCCAGGTCGGGTAAATATAGAAAATGGACTTTTCTATATTGTCTTGGATCTGGGTGTTGCGTTAATTTTGTTGTCTTAGATATTCCATAATACGTGGGCTTTAGCTAGTTACCTTGGAACCTGAGCAATGAAGGCGATGATGTTACTTCTACTTCGTCACCCAACCTCCTCTACCCCCCCCGCCCTCGAGGGAAATTACGCTCATAGACAGTATTTAAAATAATATACCTACCTAAGTTTTATTCGCAATTGTCTAATTTTTACGCCATTAACGGACCAAATGATTGCTACAATTGCCTTTGTCGACGAGGCAATTGAAGCAATTGTTATTCGCAACTACGTGATCATAGGCGAATGATGGAAGTTTTGATTGAAACCCATTGACATATTGCGAATGACGCAACTGATTGAAAGACTCATTGTGTAATTGAAAATATTTCGGTAAAAAATAAGTTTGCTAAGTCATAATTCAATATAATCGTTCATCTACCTTTTCTATTGTCAAGAAAGAAAATGTAGGCGAGTAATTCACGCATTTGAATCTCCATCATTTGCACCTTCAATCGAAATTGTTAAATTACGACCGTCTTTGGGAGACTTTAGATCCCGTCAAGTGGAGACTTTGAGGAATAAAAAAGGTTGAAACCTTTTTTTAAAAATAAATGCATTTGATACAAAATGTCTTCAGTTGATTTTAAACCTAAATGCATAAGATATAAAGTCAAAAAATAGTGAGTATCGGAACAAGCACATCCAAAATAGACACTAAATTGTTTGAGGATATTGGATGACTTCTTGTACCATGACTTGTTGTTCTACCTTAACCTTAGATAAAGGAACACAACAATGTTCATTAAAAAGAACACTTATCATGAATTAATGTTCTCATTTTCTAAATATATATCGAATAACATTTTAATTAAAGGCGTATTTAATGTATTTATATATTTTTAAGAGTAGTCGACATATCGTCAAGTTACATAGGGAAAAAAAATATCCAATTTATTAGTTTTTGATAGTAACATTAAAAGTCTTTTTAACTTTCTTGTGTAAAGGAGACAGAAGAATAATTTGACTTGAGGGTATTTCAGGAACCACGATAGGTGAAGAATAATCATTTTTTAAATTATTTTTATTGATTATTTTATATGAATATCTAGTGAGTATGAATATCTGTTCTTAAATATTGTAATGGAAAGTAAATGACTCAATGGTCTCATGGAAAATTCCATTTACTTCTTTATATGAAATATTGTTTTGCCGCACCTTCGAGCCTGTAAGATTATGTCACAAATGTATTTATCTTCCCGTAGGTGAAAGAATTTTTGAAACCCGTGTAGTTTGAAAACCTTTTTTATTTGTATATAAAAGAAAACAAAGAGGAAAATGTTGCTCTCGCTGAGTTTTTTTAGCCTATCTTCTCAGGACAATGTCTTCTGTAGTAGATCTGTAGTAGATGAGCATATAACAGCCGAGACTGCCTTAATGACTTTCAATGTTGAGCATGAAAGTTTGAAATCATATGAATATATTATGAGACTAGCTGTGCCC